GGGGCTATTAACGAAACCTATTCATTTATTGGGCAAGATACAAATTTGGCGAAACAGCGACCCTCGAGAGAAACTTGTCAGAGGGGTTATATTTCCATGTGACAACCACCCAGTTGCTTGATCTTTCCTTAGGCTGGAATTCTTGTGTCATAACGTCAGAGAGAGCTGTCCTTTTAAGTCCCACATGCAGTTAATTTTCAGTTTGAGTAGCTGATCTCTGTTTACTGTGAAAACATGGTTACGCTTAATTCAAGAACAATACTTATTTCAGGCATACATCATTTCTTGCACTTATTCATTAACAAACCAAAGTCGTGAGACAACGTAGATGTGGATATGCTGGTCTGGCTTCGGTTTAAAAAACCAAACATCCGTGCAGAACACTGGTCCAGGACAAGAGGTGCAGACAAGTGTATTTGATGACTGTGAATGTTGGTTTTTAACTGGATGTAATTTCCTTTTAAAAAAACAGTAGATAAGGAAAGATTTGCACTGAACATTATGAAAAGGAGAAATATAAATATCACCTAAGAGCTGCGCACATTTATTACTAAGGTCAGTTCACTGTACTTAAGAAAAGTACATTTTAGGCTTTGTTATGATAAAAAAAACAAAGTGCAATGTCTTTATTAATGGTTTTACTACACAAAAAAGTGTGGAATTGACAAGCTCAAAAAAAAATGAAGCATTGCAGTTTGCAAGGTACATAAAAGTAATCCACTTGTTTTCAGCCACCTTTAATCTTATATTAATACATTTCTTTTTTTAGAAATCCTCTCATAAATATAACATTCAATCATTTTTTAAATGCCTCAAAGTTTTTTTTCGTTTTTTTTTTAAACATTATTGAAAAGAACAGAATATTGAATACCAATGAAAACTTCAGGCAAAATATACTTTTTGCACATTTTTCAACCTCCATTTGGGTCTCTACAGCTTCTAAAAACAACCTTAGCACTAAAACAAACCTCCAATTATTTCTTGGTCATCAGTAAACGTTTTGTTGGTGTCTGGAAAAAGAGCCAGATCAAAAAGATCCGTATTATTACATCACAACTGGCCTAGTCTAGTGGTTCACTAACTTTTTCAGCTGCGAACCCCCTTCTGTGTCCCAACTGGGCTGACGCACCCCCAAACCACCACACCTTCAGAAAACCAAAATATTTTTTTAAACAAAACATCGCTTTTTTATAACCATATTAAACGTGTTTGTTTAATCATTCTGAAATAACCAGAGCATACAATATAATAACATCAAAAATAAATGCTGTACAATACAATAACACAACCACATTACCTTAACACATGTTTTGGGAATCGATTTAGAACTAAATATAAATCCAACTGCAATTAAGTTACACAAAACCTCCGTAACAGAATCCTGAGGATTTCAGGCGTAGGTAGAGAAAGGGAAACAATCTTGGATATCGTTCTCTGAAGGTTGATTCATGCACTAAACTCTGATGATCTACCTGTAATGGCTGAGCAATAAAATCAATCTCAGGATAAATTGGGAAGTTTTACCTCGATAACGACAAATGCGCGACAAATGCTCCAGCTCCTTGATCAGAAATAAAGGCATGTGCAGGAAAGGCAACTGATATTTTATAATTAATTTATTCAATATATCCTATTTAAATATTACTTTCAATTCAATTTTAAAGTCTTGTACCCATTCAGGTTTAAACATTCAACGATGTCTCTCTGAACAGCAAGTATTGCAACAACAGCTGTGCTGCAGGTGGTGGAGGTTGGTTGCGTTACTTTGGGTAGTCCCGACAATTTTCAGACAAACTTTGCATTTCCTGTTCTTTTGCTCAACATCTATGCCGTAATTCTGGCGCCACTGAACACACCCTCACTCAAAACCATCTGCCTCATGCTTAACTCTGACAACGCGCTCTCGATTTTTTCCCTGCGGGCTCAGCTTCATCTCTGCTCTTGCTCGGCTCCACAGGATTAATCGATGTAATTTTATCTACAGCTGTGTTAGACGGTTCTTCACTGGGTTCATTCGCCATTCTCTCTGCTTACGTTTCTGACTGGTTCGGTTGAGTCACGTGATTGGACACCTGCTTCAGTGTTTTTAAAAAGTTACCAGCCACTGGTGTACAAAGGCAAAATGGCAGAATTAATTACAGACTTATTTACCGAATTTACCGACATGGGAAAATTTGCTATGGTTATCGTAGTGAATGACTGTAACGGTAAAAATCCAGTTTATCACCCATCCCCACTACCTGTGTCTGTTCTCACTTTATTTCATGTATCTGCTTCCAAATGTAAATTTGATTCACAATTAACGCCACAAAATAAAAACACTAAGAAGTTTAATTTGATTTGTGTCCGATGGTGAGAGAGACAGGGGCATAAAATAACAATAACCATGAGTGGGGGCCTGCATTGTTAAATGTGTTACTAATCAGGTATATAAAAAGTTATTTCCTGATTTTTTTCACAGCGTGTACATTAAGTAAGTCGACATCCCCATGGCAACACACCTTAGCTCCCCTCATCCACCACCGGTTTCTGGTTTCCCTGTTCGTGTATGGGTACAGGCAAAGACGGCATCTTTAAAATGACTGAATCACATTATCCAATTAAAGGTATTACAGGTGTGTGTTTGTGTTTGTTTGTGTGTGTGTGTGAGCATAGTTGCACGTTTACCTCCAATTTTCTCACCAGAAGCCCCAGTGTGAGCATGTTATGGGCATCAGTGTAGCTTTTTCAGATTCACAGCACCATGGGCAGCGCCGTTTGTTTGAAGGCCACAGACTAGCTATGTAATACAATTCATAGAAGCATAAATTCCTCTATAATGCTTATTAAAATTAAGCTTAAAAAGCTTCTTCTAATCACATATCCATTGAATTGTTTGTTATTGATCAATTGAAATTAGACTTTATTTAAAGGTATTTATTGTGTGAGGAAAAAATGCAATGGTGTAATTATAAGACCGCCATTATGTTTTCATATCATGCACCCCTAGTGGCAGCACATGCATCACACTTTTGGAATCCCTAGCCTAGCCTGTCCCGTCCCCTCACCAAGCTATGAAAGCAAAGTAAAACTGTAAGATACATTTTACTAAATGAGTCATGCACACAACTTACCAAAGGCTTTGATAAAGGCAAAACAAAATGTGTACATAATTCAGATATATTCATCTTCTGTTCAAAAGACACAGACAACTAACTGTTAGCATGATGCTCATTTGCACTAAAATCCTGAAGGGTAGCAAATGGTATCATGGTTATTTTTCCTGAGATTCTAACATTAAACAATCAAAAATGTCTTCTAGAAGCATCTTATCCAAACACAACACTCATAGACAGATGGTTTTTGGGAGTTTAGAAGATAAATAACTGGAGAAATTACTGGGCTTTCAGTGTAGCTCTGGAAGAGGCTACTAACAATTCAGAAACTGCTTGCTGCCTCCTTGCTGGATTGCACGAGGCTCCATCAGTTCAGCTTCTGGGTCTGACTCAGAGTCATTGTACTATTGTGGATCTGTTTGCAGCCATTACCAGCTTGCAGGGCTGATTACAGGTTGTTTGCACTCTGCCAGTCTACAGATTCATTCTCGACATAAGACAGATGATGAGAATGTTATATAAGTCCATAGAACTTCCCATAATTGTTTAAAGTATGGAAGGTGGACAGAGCTAAAAATAATAATTTCCTTTTTCAAGCAATTGATAATAAACTTAGATCAGTTGAGCTTTTAATGCAACCATCTAGGTCTTCAATTCATCGGACAATCCAACTGTTATATTTGCCCCCTTTCCTGTGAATTGACTGTAGATTAAGGAAACTGGTACCTTTGAAAACATGGTACCTTTAAAAATATATGTTTAAATCAACTTCTACATGTTTTAAGATGCTGGCTGGAGACATAAAAGTCTATGCATTGTATCAGTTGGTATTTCACATATAATGTAGTAAAATGACACATTAAGAATGTGAGTACTTCTGTAAGGGACTGTGCATCATAGGTGTCTGACACCATATCAAAATTGATTAAACATAAACTTACCTAGTTAAAGTGTGCTAAATAACTGGTAAGCATTTAGGTCAATCTTTCCAGTTTTAAAGTCATAAAGATCTTTCTTTGAAATCAAGAACCAGAGCAGGTGTTGCATTTACAGTCAACAGTGAGGCTCTAAAGCGGCCCGCTCAATGTGCTTTCTGTTTGTTCAAATAAATCTGTTCTCTTCCAGAAAAAATCATCGGAGCAAGACCTTAAATAATATTGAGATATATCATTTTTCATTGAGAGAAGTCTCCGGCTGTAAATCCTTGCCCGTATCTCAAAGGATCAGGGATGTTTAGCTAAACGTTAACCAGTGCTAAAACAAGCACAAACCTGACAGCTCTGGTTGGATCACAGACAACTGAGAGGTACTTAGCTTGCCTCTGCTGAGGCCCTGGCTGTTGGACCGTAATGCCTCATTCATCTGTATGATTTACAAAGCAGAATATGTGTGGAGGGCTGATCTCATTCAAAGCTGGTGGATTCGGGTTCGCTGCACTGAAGCCAGACTTTTACTGTGAACGATTTATGATGCTTAACAACAATCGCTCATGTCGATGGACAAGATCTTGATAGAGACATACAATCAATGATGCCAAAAACAGGATATTTTACATGAAAATCTCCCACCTAGATAGAATCCCCAACAATAAAATATAGAAATATCCTGCTTGTGTTCCAGCTAAGAAAACAGATGTGTTATTTATTTTCGCTATTTTAATTCACTGGTAATTTATTGGGGTAGATTGGCCTAATGAAATAAACCTCACATCTCAAGAAGACACAAATAAAGGAGCTGCAGGAAGGTAAAATCATTATGGGAGCACATCTGAGAGCAGCAGATTGCTCCCGAGACCCAGAGAGTGAGCAAACCTATGAATAGTTGCTTTCTTTTGGAACAGTCTCAGCCTCAATCAGCATACAAGAAACTGAATGTAGAGGAAAGCAAAAAAGGTAGGCGACTCACTTTTGTCCTGTTCAGGAGGTTCCATGATGTCACTGTCTGTGTCACTGGGAATATGCCACGGCTGTCTGATGGCCTGGAGCTGCTGGTAAAACTCATCCTGAAATAGGAAAAAAGACATAACATAGGAGCATTGATGTGAGACAGGGATATGGATAAAAAGGAGACACACAGTTATTTACCGAAGTATCTCAGTTCCTTGGACCAAATGTTAAAATTCATAATTGAGATCAGATAGACTGTGCTGTGAAACAATATTTATTCCATTTCTGTCTGTTTCTGTTTTTTTCTGTTTTGTATACACAATTCTGCATGCTTAAACAAATGGTATTGTTCAAGAATTACAACCTGAGACAATACAAAAAATCTTAAGAAAAATGCCAAAGGGAATAGCTTCCATGGGGGAGTTCCAAAGTAAAAAACAGAAGTAAAACATACTAAAAATGGCATCTCGACACAAAACAAATATTATTTGGAAATGTTCTATCAACTGATGGGACTAAAGTGGAAGGTTTTGATATTTACACAGATTTTTAGGAAAAGAACATAATCTAAATAATCTTAGAAACTCAAGGTTTCATAATAATTAATGAAACCACATATTTGTTAGGATTCCAGTTTGTGTGGGTTTTTTGTGTTTTCCTCTCTCCACCACCAGGCGGTGCCCTGTCCTTGTTGGGCCTCCCTGTACACCTGCGGCTCGTTGGGTCATTACCAGAGGAGTACTTGAGCAGTGGGCTGTCACCAACTTGCCAGTATTGGGTACTCTAGCCAAACTGAGATTAGCAGAGTCTAACCTTAGCATTGTTTCTCTGAGTCTGAACTTGTTTTTGTCTTTGTTCTTCAGCAGGAAGACTTCCTGTGTTACTGGATAAGCCTGGAAGGATTTACCGAGACTCACTGAGCAAGGGGAAAACCTCCACATGATCCGTTCAAGTCCACTCCTGGAAAACCAAGTAACAGTGTGCTCCTTTAACTCCTCGGGGTCCAAGGTATGTCTGCCTGTCCGCTCTCCAACGAGTTCCCTCTTCTCTGGATTAAACCCCCACAAACTGGATCCAAGGATAAACCAAGAGCCCCCCAAAAGTGAGTGCCTCTCCAGCAATATTCAACCCTCAGTCTATTTTCCCACTGTCCCTGAACTGATCACTGTGATCTCCCCTTCAGAGTTTCCGGTTCCGGTTCACCAGTCCGCTGAGTTCCAGCATTGTTTGCTAACCTACAATAAACCTGTCAAACTTTTACCTTTGATCTCTGAGAGGTTCTCTACATGTGGGTCAGATCTTTAAAGCCCATAATGACAAAATTATTCTGTGTGAACATCGCTACTGTCAGCAAAAAGAAAAGTTTAATTTTTACATTTTTAAGTATTAAGGGCTGGTTATACTCCCGCAGCAGTTTGTTGCAGTGAGCTTGTCGCAGATATATTATACTGGGCGACAGAGGATGTAGGAGTTTGCCCTGAAATCAAAGGATTGACGGTTCAAGCCCCAGCTCAGACTTTCATGGTCATTGTGTCCTTGGGCAAGACACTTCACCTGCTTCTGTCAGTGAGCCCAGGGCAGCTGAGGCTACAATGTACAGTAGCTTGCCACCATCTGCATTTGCGTGAATGGGTGAAAGACTGAATGTAGTGTAACGCGCTTTGGTCAAGTCTCCTGACTTGAAAAAAGGCGCTATATAAGTACAGGCCATTTACCATTTTTGGATGTATGCCCAATTTTGAAGCGTGTTCTGCGTTATGTTATTCCAACAATGCAAGAGAGTCAATCACAAACTAGCTGTGGTTCTAGATACAGCCGAGGTGGTGAGGAAGTAGAAAAACGCAAGGGGGAAATTTGTGCGACAACGGAGGGACATGAGGGCGAAAAAGAGCGGGGATGCAGGTGGAACAAGGGTTCCAGGGTTCTCGCTCTTCTAGCTGGTGCATCTTTACAGGTTGTTTTCCACAATGGCGATCATACAAACAAAACAAGCCGGTAAGGTACCAAACAGTAAATAAGCATAATATTGATATGAAAGTTTGAAGCATTAAATACACATGGTGCAATTATGCAGTATTTTTGGTTTCATGTTATCAGTGTGATGCAGAGTCTGTGACATGATTAACAGTTTTCTCAATAGTTCAGCTGTCTGATGGAGTTGGGGACGAAGCTGTTTCTGAATCTTTTGGACCTGCACCGAATGCTGTGAAGCCTCTTCCCAGAGGGCAGCAGGAAGAACAGTCCATGGTGCGGGTTTGAAGGGCCATTGATAATGTTACGGGCTCGGGACATGCAGAGCTGGGATGAAATTTCTTTTATGGAGGAAAGAGGAGCCCAGATAATCCTCTCTGCTGTTCTCACTACTCTTTTCACTTTCTTCCAGTCTGAGGTGCTGCAACCTCCACAACACACAGTGAGAGAGCTGGTCATAACGATCTCTATGATGCTTCTGTAGAAGGTGGTGAGGATGGGTTGGGGCAGGTGGGCTCTCTTCATGCTCCATAAGAAGTATATGTGCTTTTGTGCCCTTTTGACCTGTGAGGTGGTGCTTACAGTCCATCTGAGGTTGTCTGTGATGTGCATCCCCAGGGATTTGGTGCTGCTGCCCACCTCTACTGCTGAACTGTAGATGAGCAGTGGAGGGAGGTTAGGCCGGTTCTTCCTGAAGTCAACAATGATCTCCTTCTCCCATCTTCACCACATTCCTGCTTGTCCTTGTCGTTGGGAGGCTAGTGTCTACAGTAGCTCTGGTGGTCAATAGATGAGAGGCAGGGTACAACTTGACGAGGTCGCAACTTTATCACAGGACACAACAGAGACACTAAGGGATGGACCTGTGATTCCGGTTCAATTTGCATCTTTTCTAAGCCATAACAAGTTTTTGTAGGGCTACTCTATAAAGCTTGGAACTCAATGCTAATCCAGACATTTTGAATTGAAAAACCTTCCAAGATGGGAGGCAAAATGTCTTCAAACTTGGAAAACAAAGTCCATTGGATTGTTTTTTTAACTTGTTTGGAAGTTGATATCAAGGGTACTGGAATACTATGGGTGACTGGAATAACTATGACCTGGAAGACTGAGAATCTTAACCAGCATACAACAGATTTCACAATTTCCCTGGAGTTGAGTCTAAGCGTGAGTCTATCTATGGATAAGAAGGGGAACACATCTTTATAAAGATGGAGTTAGGTCCCACTTTGAACCCAAGACTCTGACTGGGCCTCCCCAAAGCTTTAATAGGGTTTTACAGAAACAGCACCCCAGTGAATGTTTTAAAATTAAACCTAGGTAACCAAACTAAACCTTATCATTTTTAGAGTTTGCAATGCAAAAAACAACATTTTCGGGATGCCAAGCTGAAATGCAAATTTTAACAGAGGCATATATATGAGACTGCTTTGCAAAGGGTAAAAACCATAAAAAAAAACAACTGAAATTGCAGATATTGAAAATAATCCAATTAGAATATTAGATCAAATAAGCAAAAAGGAAAATATGAACAATAGGTTGATGAATAAAAAAACAGAATAATCAATTATAGTGGGATAAGGAACTGTGAAAACACATGTGTGGATTAGTAAGGAAACACTATATTATGAGATCTAGTTTAATTGTCTCTGTAAAGTGCCTTGAGATGACATATGTTGTAAATTGGAGATATAAAATAAATTGAATTGAATTGAGATCAAGATAAATCATAAATAAAAAAACAAAATTATAGCATTCTATAAACCTGATGTTTACAGAAACAGATTGTGATTGTTTCTTGTACAATATATCTTATCTAATAATTGAGGCATAGAGTTACAAGTTCTCTACAATTCTGCATGAGGCAATTAAGCTCAGTTTAGGACTGTAAACCAACTTCAGGCTGAATCATTGCTAGAAAGAAAGATCGGGCTGAAAATAAACATTTATTTGTTCTTTATATCGCCCAATGCCCATCAACAAAACAATTTTCTTTAAATATCTAATTATCTTTGTCAGTAATTAAATAAATGCATCAACTTTCAACAAAAGTTACTAAATATCCAGAAGAGAAAATGTTAATAAATACTTTAGCTATTTTTACATAAACAAGTCTTTTTCTGTAAAAACTAAACAAAAAAAAATAATGTGAAGAAAAGCTGACATCTTGTTTTGCTTCTTCATTCAGTGTTGCATGTGCTTTCAAAATCCTCCTAGTTTCTGCACAGGCCTTGTTTTAAGGATTTAGTCCTATATGCAGGAACAGGTGGCCCCAATAAAAACAGACTGGATTCCCTGAAATAATGTTTTGTATAATGTCACTAAGTGTCAACTGGAGTAACTGTCAAACTGTATACAAAGGGACTGTAAACCCCCTACCCTCTAGTAAGAAAGCCTTCAAAAAGGGCTCGTGTTTAACAGGGCTTCTGTTAAGTAGATCATGAAAGGAAAATAAGAAAAAAAAAACCTGAAAGCACCTTTTTAATGCCAGGCTCATTTTCCAAAATGAAATGACATCCTACAATACAGACCTCCACGGTTCTGCAAGAAACCCCCCACAAAGACTGTGCATGTTCTGGTTCGTGCATGTGCTGTCATAATCCGTCTATGGAAAGGTTCCCATATTTTCTCACTCTCTTCTATAGATCCTAAGTAGACATTAATTTTAAGCCCATGACCAATAGCTGCATCCTGTGCTTTAAACTATGTGTTTATACCTAATCTATTTTACAATGATGTTTGAAAAACAATTTTCCATTCATTCAGTTTGTTTGCTTTCTTGAGAAGATGTGCTCTGAGAATCTGCTTTTAACACATGGATCTACTCACAAGAGACAGACACAAGGATTGCTAAAGAGGCAGAAGAAAACAACTACACCACCAATGTCTAAAGGTTAACAAAATATACAAAAACTAAGTGCAAAAATAACAATTTGTGGTCCTTTTGTTGGACATTTTGTTTGCGTAGCCTATACTTTTTGGAGTCTTGTGATGATTATTTCCAGGAAGTCCCTGTGCAAACCCAGGGATTATCCTGTTTGACAAACAGGAATCTTCATTAACCCATTGCAAGTGTTCGTACCGCTTAATCTTTTTCACATTTGTTCCTGTTACACCCAGAAAATTGTATATATTTTGCTAGGAT